ATTAGCAGTTTCCATATCTTCTTTCGATGCATCAATATCAATCACAGCTCTTAAAGGCTTTTGGCCATTAATACATTCATGAATCCCAGGTAAACCATATACTTCTGAGATGTTATCTGCAACAGAAAACTTCAGAGCTCGATCGTCTTGATCGATTTTTATAATTAATTTATTTTCAACCTCATCCTGATTATAGGCATTATATAAACTAAAGCCTTTTTTATTTGAAAAGAGGAATGAATAGAATAGAAGAAATTCTAATGAGCCTTTTTCATCTGACATATCTCTAGGCAGTGATAGGAAAATTTCTCAAATGGCATTTAGCAAGTCCTTGGAAGAAAAATTATCATTAAACTTTTCCTGCCTTAAAGTATATGCTATATTAATCTTTTGTTTTTTTACATTTAATGGTTGAACCAATGGAGTCTTGATAGTACTGGTTGAAGCACAGGAAGATTCTTCACTATCTGACTCATAATTAGACTCATAGTTATTATAATCATCTGATCCCAAATCAGATTCATCATTATAGCTATCTGAGTCACTCAAGTATTCATTAAGGTTGACGCTATCGTAGCGGGTGAGAGTTTCGTGATCAGTTTAGTCGAAAATAGTTGAGGTATACATGTTGATAGTAGGTAAAGTTATTATATCACAATATATTTCAGAAATATTTAATTATTTTTTTCGATAGATGTAATAAAGAAGTGATAGCAAACTTAGTCAACAAATCGTAAATGAAAGAGAAGTAGATATATATCAAAATGTGGAGTCTTCTTCGTAATTATTATATAAAATTTTTGAAGAAAGCTTCATCTTTCTAGATATGTACACGGGTATGGTATAAATAAGCTGACCATGATAATACAAATTGCATCACCAATACTCTAACCAACCGATTATAAATATATCACCAGTTCTAGGACGTAAAATCGCCATACATATATGATAACAAATAGGCATCAGCTTTGATCTTTCAAATTGTATACCTCAAAACACTTTATCCTAGTAATCAAATGGGTCAGACATGATCCCTTGAAAGTTACACAAATTGAATTTTTTTACATATAGTACTTGTATGGATATTACCATGCCCGATATTTACTCTATATTTGATTAAGATGAAATATGATAGAAACACTACAGAATATGAATATATTTTATAAGATGAATAAGATAAACATTATACTTACTCATTTTGTAACAATGGTCTAATAACATCTCGTAAAATTATGTATTGAATTTTCACGTGATAATAATTTGAACTTCAGGATGCGAAAATGGCACTTATACTGATGTAATAGTTGGATTGCGAAATGGTGCACTTCTGGCAATCAAATGGACTAGCCAGATCTTTGGGTAGGTATCTAAGCTGGCCTGAAACTGGCGAACTAATAGAAATACTCTGGTTCTCTGCCAGTTCTATAAAAGTTTCAGGACACTATCAAGGCACTATCATGATGCCAAGCTGGATCCTCAAATCACGTGCCTAAAAGATCAGCCAAAATTAATCGCAAATTTACTGTACCGCCTGATACGATATTTTTTTACCACAATTTTGGGATCTAAAAAGGCAACCAAATAGGCGTAAAGGAAAAGCACTCTAACATAGAATTTAGCATTCAATCAGATGCAGAAGGCCAGTATTCTCAACATAAAACCAGATAACCAAACAGTTACAAAGGGTTAACAACTCCATTATAGAATTTAGCATGTAAATAATTCAGAAATAAGAAGAAAAGCGTGGTATTTAGATTATATTGTAATAATAAAAATATATTAATATAAAAAATACGAATATCAAGAAAGACTTAAAAATATAGCTAGAATATAAAAGCGATATAAGAAAATAATAAAATATTATATTATATATGGTATTTAGACTGTATTATTTAGATTATATGTGGTAATTAGATTACATCATTTAGATCATATATGGTATTCAGATTATATGAGATATTCAGATTATATGTGATATTCAGATTATATGTGATATTTAGATTATATGCAATACTATAATCTAGGCTAAGTGGGATACCACATGCAATATGATTCATATTGCATGTGATATCCCACTACTTTATTATATTAGTATTAAAATATTTCTTTATTATAAATCATTACATTAAATATAATTTTTATCCATTTTATTTTCTTTTTGAATCTATATCATTAATCAAAAATTACTGTATGTAAGGAAAAAATAGTAAATTTAATATAAAAAATTACTGAATAAGTTTATTAACATATAATAATGTAATATTTTTCGACCAATCAGAAATCAAAATTTCATCAACCAATCGGAGACGGAGTCGAAATTAGTATACCCGACTTCCCCTGCGTACAGGCCGGCATTACGGCATTAAGAAATTAACTGTGTGACAAATCAGTGCGTGACAAATAGTATTTCACTACCGAAAAAAATTCCAAAAATTAAACGCGGAGGGATGTGATACCGGTGACAAAAAATATATCACGGGAAATTTCGTGACATTTTTGAAGGATACGCATTGCGCATAGTGGTTGCGATCTACTTATTTTGGGTTACTCCTTGCCCCGATTGCGCTAAATAGTATTTTGAGCATTGTTCAACATCCTAAAAAAATAAAGATACATGCATTATTAAATACACGCGTCTATATTTAACGAAACTTTAACGCGTCTTCTCATTCACATCAATATATAAAGTTCAAATTTTTGTGCATATTACGCTGAATTTCCACGAACATGTTTTAATACTATTATGTCTGATATTACTTTTTGCACCCGAGAAACTATGGAAAGCATTCCATATAAAAAGTACTTCGAGTTCTTTCAACGTGACACTTGGTCTCTTCACCACTATGTAGCCCTAGTGATTGATTGCTATAATTTTCTGAAAAAGAGACCTTTTATAACGTTCTACATAATATCAATAATGATCCTAACATCTCTCAAAAGGTTCGTGATATTGCTCAAAAACTTATAAAGAGCAGTAAGGTAAGCAAACATATTTAGAATAACTAATTTTGCTTTGATGGGGTTTACAGCCACCTGCTTGTACCTATTACCTTCGCCATAGTAGGAGTCCTGCAAGTATGGAAATGGATGAGTTTATTACTACGCCATAGTAAATAAACATCATGAATGTAATCATTTATAATTTTTTTAGTAAAGATCTGTTGATTCTGGAAAAGGATTCAACTATGTCTTTCTTTGCATATAAAAAATTATATTGGTTTATTCCTGCATTCACCATCAAATCTTATTTTTTGTCGATTATTGCTTACTGGAAATATTATTTCATTTCTCACCTAATTTTGCTTCTTATAGGCTGATCTTATAGCTTGTGAAAAAAAGCTATCAGAGAAAGAAGGACAACCACCAGCATTACAACCATCATCGTCATCGACATCACAATCACCACCATTAGCATCATCACCATCACCACCAGCATCATCTTCATTAGGAAAGAGACTCCCTTCAAAGAAGTTCGTGGTCACAGAAATAAATTGCTTCTGTATGAATATGGAAGTACCTTTGCAAGTTGATGGATCTGTAGATATTCTTGAGGCTGTAAAATCTATTGTATGCACTTTCGACGAAAAAAACAACTCCACCATGGTTCTTCCCGTTCCTACTAGGAAAGAGACAAGGGGAGAATTCCTTCAAAGAAGCGCGTGGTCACAGAAATAAATTGCTTCTGTATGATGTGGAAGTACCTTTGCAAGTTGATGGATCTGTAGATATTCTTGAGGGTGTAAAATCTACTGTGTGCACTTTCGACGAAAAAAACAACTCCACCATGGTTCCCGTTCCTACAAAAGTTCGAATCATTTGTTAGTAGATTCTAAACAGAGTGTAGAGGTTCCTCGGAAGAATACTTACGATACTGAGATGTATAGGATCTTAGTGAATTGGCTTGTTAAAGTGCACGGCTTCAAAATAACTAGCCAGTGGCATTTTGAACAAATGTGTGATGATGGGAAGTTTCACTGTAACCTGACGATAAAGAAACCAGATAATCCATGTCATGAAGCCATTCTAGAACTTATAGAAATAAGTTCTGTCCCGAAAATTAAAAAGCGTTTTGATCGTGTATTAAAGTATACCGACCAAGGAAGTTTAGATTGTGCATTTTTCTAGAGAGGATTCTGTTACATCTGACCAATACTGGCCATGTAAGAAGCTTCAGGAAAGAGGATTAATGTCATACATTTTTGGCACGACCAAGATTTTAATGACGTTCGTATGAATGCCAGGTTTCGGAATGTCACTGGCGAGTTTTGTGAAATAATAGACGACCAAATTCTACCTTGATTTATTCCCATACTGTAATAAAGTTCGCCTGAAAAGGCTTTATTTTTTCTTGGCAAATTTTTGACGACCTGAGGTCGCTGAATCTTTCAATTGTTATCCATTGATCGGAGCTAATAATTTTAACAGATTTTTTTCAGGTGCGGTAATTTTGTGACTGCGCATAAACACGTGATTGACATTACGAAATAATGTGCCGTACCCTCGAATCCCTTAAAAAATTAGTGCTATTTTAAACAATAATATCACATGATTTAGTGATAAGATGCTCAATAGTTTTTGCTGATCGTTTTCCGAGGAAACAATTTTTGTATTACTATCAATTTTTGTAACAATTGTTCCTAAGGAAACGGTTTCAGTACCATGTGATAAATCAGAAATAACATCCTGGGCTTGATTTTAGCTGACTCAATGCAGAAATTTCTTATTGCATCACCTTATTTCATTACCAATGCTTTTATTAAGTATCTTATCCAAGAATTTATCCATCTCTCTCTTCTCTGATGACTAGGAGTTGATCTTCTGATACCATATCAAATGCTTTACAAAAAAGTATGTAGCTTGAGCTGTCTATTACAGAATCAGATATATCAACAGCTAATACCGTTACCTTTGGTAACACCTCTGATATCGCTTTTTTATCATTCTGAGATTATTCATCCATTGTCATAAAACCCTGTTCTACTATCAGGAGTTTGACCTCAAGCTTCGTATTTTTTTCGCTCTATTTCTTCAACATTATCATCATGCCTGGCATTTCTTCAATAATCTGTCTCAATTTCACATTTACAAAGTGATGTGTTGTCTCAATGCTTCAAATTCAGATAACATGATTGATAATATTTTATACAATGTATACAAGCATTCAAAATTGCAAAAATATAAAAAATATGAATATAGCAAACCACTAGAATCATCTTTATTAATACATGAAAAAATAAAATACAGGATAAAGATATATTAGATTTCTTTTTAATTCAAGAATCATTTCTTCATATGTATTGAAGATAAAAGAGACAAAAGTCAGAAAAATATTATATGTTATTTAACCAAACATAAAATTCACATAATTTATAAAATAAATTACAGAATTTACTTAATTTATAATAATATAATTTATCCAATATATACTAGTTGCAGTATAAAAATATTCTGATATAATTGTTTAATGTAATAAATATTTATCAAAAAAAAATATATATATATGTATTAGCTTTATTATATTATTTTAAGCATATAAATATTAGATACATAATAATTTAATAAAATATACAGTTATAAAAAATTTTATCTATTATCTATTACTTATTTTTGATTATTTCTTGTATATATTATATTTTACTTTTAAACATAAACTTCTAAAATATATCATATAATTGGATTAAAAAAAAAGTTATTAAAAAATTATAATATTAGAAATTTATTATAATATAAATCAGAATATAAAATTTAAACTAAAAATTATGTGCACTAGTTGATAAATTTATTACTAAATAGGAAAATTATATCAGTTTCTTATGTAAATTTACTTTTTTTTATATGTAATTTATCTATTTTTAATAATAATTTATATTTAATTTATATTATATAATATGTGTATAATAAAAAATAATATACATATATTGTTAACAGATTAATTAACCAATAATAATGAAGTTATGTAAATAATGCAGTATAACAATCTCTTAATTCAGAATCCTAAAAATACTGAGAATTCTACAAATTCTAAAAATATAAAAGATTTATGTGATTTTACAGATCTTCTAAATACTAATGATAACTCTAATTTTACGAGTTAAATAAAATCTAAGAATATTCAATATTATACCCACCCTACATTAAATCATCGGAAATTGATCACTACAATTATTACACAATTAATTAAAAAATTTTTAAGAGCTGTTATTGTTCTTTTTTTAGATATTGACACAATTACAAGTATTACAAATAAATATCAGCCTCTTTTTCTAATTTTTCTAGTCATAAAAATTGCTTAAAAAAGAATTAACAAGTAAACAACAAGAACGAATAATTGGTGCTTACCTTACTGACACTAATGGATTAAAAATTTCTTCTAATTTTAATATTTCCTCTTCAACTGTATACGATACTATTAATCGTTATAAAAAACTGGTTCTTCATATCCTAATAAATGTTTAGATCGACTAAAAATATTATCTAATCACAGAAAACATTTTTTACAAAGTGGGGGGACAAGGGGCGTTCTCACTAAAGAGTGGTAGCCTCCCAGTGCCTTCTTGCTATATTACTTTGTATTCTTTTTCTATTTCTCGCATCTCTAGCTCATTATAATTACTAATTATATTTCTTGCCTATCTGAAGATTCCACAATCTCAGAAATACTATTTTGTAATCTTACTTAGCTATACTCTTTGAAATCTTATAAATACTAACTTGTTTTTTTATTTAGCACGAATTGTTTGAATGCAAATAAGCTTACTGTATGCAGAACGAAGTAGAGCGGTAAGCAAATTGTGAATATAATAAGTGGGCAGATGGTATGCAAATCATAAAGCAAATATGAATGCCAAGTCTGCAAAGCAAAGCGGAGCATATATACATAAGATATGTTCACGGGTTGCGAAGCATCGAAGATGCAGAGCATATGTACACAAGATATATTTACAGGTTGCGGAGCATCAAAAATGCAGAGCATATGTACACAAGATATGTTCACGGGTTGCGAAGTATCGAAGATGTGGAGCATATGTACACAAGATATGTTTACGGGTTGCAAAGCATTGAAGATGCAGAGCATATGTACACAAGATATGTTCATGGGTTGCAGAGCATCAAAGATGCGAAGCATATGTATACAAGATATGTTCACAGAGGTTGCAGAACACCAAGGGTGTGAAGCATGTACGCATAATATGAAAAAAAATCAAGTAATATAAATGCATACATATTGAGTTTCAGGAATATTCTCAGAACATCCTCGGCACTAGCCCATCTGAAATTTGGTATACATATGCTTTAGCATCCATGATTTTTTGAATCCCTCTTATCCAGCTAGTCCTGATCAAGGGCTTCCAAATAAGTCTGCATTTGTATGATTTCAATCAGTGGATTCTGAGATATCCGCGTCCAAAGTAGCCAGAGCGGTCAAGCAGTTTTCTTATCACAGATTAGCCAAATAGACCCACTCCTTCGGTCAAGAACTTCAGGAGAAAAAAAAAAGTTGTCTTGAAATCTATGATTGAGGGACCGAGGAGGAGGAGAATTAATTAATTGAATAAAAATTTTCTGAGAATATTATTACACTGTGAAAGATATTCTATATAAGATGTCATCTCGTCAAGCTAGCCAAACAAATATTCGTAAAGAAATTCGAGCCAAACTTGCAGAGCTTAAAGGAGTAATATTAGACGTGATACTATACCCACGTTCCAATGATTTGCTTGCTAAGTATTAAGAGGAAATCGCACAACTTCAGGTAGTAACTGAGGAAAAAAGGAATGGAACGCATGATATTTCGCAAAGCAAATCTATAGATGAATTGGCTGACTGGTTAGCAGGTTCAGTGAAGGGTTTTAAGCTAAAAGAATCTGAAAATATAGATCCTGTTATATTTGATGAATGGGCAGACAAGCAGGAGTGGCTAGGAAAAGAAAATCCAGAACGGAATGAGAATGGATCGATTTGGTGGTTTTCAAAACAAATTCCAAAGTTAGCGTCCCAAAAGGTAAAAAACAAACATGGGTTTGATTACTGGAAACTTCCTAGAGGGACAAATAAACCACATATAACAAATAGTTATACTAAGAAAATTCGGGATCTAATGGATAATGCTGAAGAATATGTTATTGGGGTGGCTAATGATTGGGAAATGGGTAGAATAGAGGAGTGAATAGAATAGGATGAATCTAGTGATAACTATCTAGGCATAAAGGAGGTATGGGTTCTAGGAGGAAAAGAAGAGTATTATATGGATCCTCATGGATGGCCATTATTGCGTGTTCATTCTTATGGAAAAGCCAGTCTGGAAGAACTTCTATTAGTAGATAGGAGGGTATGGTTATTCTGGAAAGATTCAGAGGCAATGAATCTTAATGAGTATCAAGACGAGCCATATAATCTTGAGCTAGAAGGCCAGCCCTATACATTACGTTTCCAGTTCATGGCATGCTCGCATCAAAAATTATATGGTTTAGGAATTAATGAAGATGGAACTGTATAGTGGCATAATGATGAACTAGTCAATATTAGCTATGAAATGGCATCAGAAGTTTGCTGTCTTCTTTATCATTCTACAGAGTATACACTTTTTACTAGACTCGACACATCTAAAAGTATGGTTGAAGAAATAGGAGATAAAGGATGGCATTTCGGTAAGAAAAAGAAAGCCGGAAGTCTTACAGGAGAAAAGATCACACCAGGACAATTAGAAGGAATGGATATATATTTAAGGGCAAAAACCTGAGAGTATGTTAACCATATTTGCTATGAACTTCGACCAGTTCCGAGATCACAAGGACCACCAGGACTATTTTATGATGGTGACTTGAATTGTATCGTAGCAGAATTACAAAGACTAATAGAGCATGGAGGAACAAAGCGGGCTATAGAGCTAACGCCAGCTCGTGAAAGTGCTCTTGCGAAATTTAATAAAAAGGTACGAGCATCCGGCTGTACTTTAGATGATTTGCATGACCTTGAAAAACCAGAAAAATCTGGAGGAATAGGGATGAA